GTAGTAGTTGCACTCATTCCCATAATGCTTCATTGGAATAGATTACAATAACCAGTCGATTTTGCACTATGTGGTTGTTTGGTGCAATTGAGCTCAACAGCAATCGATATGGTAAACGATATCTGTTTTTCTTGCCCACATACGCCCCGACGGGATACATATCCGAAGTTGAAGGAAGTGGATTTTGTCGAATACTGCGAGGACTGCACCGGTTAACAAGAAAGACGGACGATGTTACCCTGATGAGTGATAGCAACACCCATTTTGAGCGGCCGAACTCGGAAGCGCAGTAAGATAGCGATTTGGAATCGATTGTCACCGTGCGGATAATGTGGGCGACTTATTCAGTCGTATGTTGTGTGGTTAGAGCGCGAATTGACTGACCGAAAGGTCTGTGCCTCTCGACTTTCCATGTCTAGGCCTGGGCAACCTGGCAATATTTCAGCCCTCGTGCTTCCTTCGGGTGGCATGGCAGCTAGGTACCGAAAGGATGCCACAGCTGAACGATTTTTTGTTGAACATCATGTATTCCTAGACAGTAAAACCTTCCAACACGTCCTTTGAGGTGTCTGAAGTTCATCAACCACAGGCTACTCATGAACTCAGTTAGATAATGCAGACTTCAGTTACCAAATAGGGAGCTTGTCTTTCTGAGGTTAGCAGATTGATTCCAATCGTTCCGTTGCCCGGGGTCGATTGTCAATTCGTTTCCCACCAGAATAACACAGGCCGATACTTAGCGACCCAATTCCCCAACTTCTGTGCTTTATATAGCTCAACAGCGTTTGGCTATGTTGGTTGAATATTTACTTTGCAATCGCGCTGATGGTGAAGATTGGTTAGAGGACGACTGAAGAAGAGCGAAAGAAGGTGTACTCTCCACTTTTATGAGTATTTGCCCAAGCTATCCGACGCGATCAAGTGGAACCTAGATTTCCTCAAGATCAGCAGGTCTTTTTGACACCAGAAAAGGCTACAAGCCACCAGAAATTACCGGCCATGATGGTGCACACAGTCATCAAATGCTAGACAGAGTCTGTCTAGGCTTGGGCAATCTGGCAGTATCCCAGCCCTCTTGCTTCCTTCTCGTGGCATGGCAGCTAGGCACCGAAAGGTTGTTACAGCTGACTGGTTATCTATCTCATAGACAGAGTCTGAAGGATTACACAGAACGCTCATAGATTTCGTGAGCTCAGGCGATGGAAGCGAGAAGCATCCGTGCCCGATCAGCTGGTTTAAAGAAGGCGGGTGTCAACCAGGCGGCTGGTAAAGAATTCACGTTCCCATTCCAGAAATATCTCGAATAGATGCCAGCAAGACACGACTATCGGTTACCAGGTCTAAAAAAACTGACGCAGTATCGGCTCCACAGGCCACATGGAGGTTAAGCTGCCTTATGTCATTCACAAAGGTATTGAGCCAGGTTTTCAGCTGTCCAATGACACAACAGCGGTATCCTTGACTTGTTGCGTTGACCAGTGTTTGATAATGTCGCCATCGCTTGTACGCAGCAGATTCCCAAACCGTTGTAGATGCCGTCGTTGAAGAAGTTTAGGTAGACGTAGATCATGAGAACTTCCTCCTTGTCATCATTGGACATGTCCTTTAGATAGCGTTGGAGACACCTGTGTTTTCAGGTATATTGTGCTCGTAGAGGCCGTGTTCCGCAGGCATAAATCAGGACCAGACGGATGGTTACATTGAGGACCCGGATTTCCCTTCGTAAACCAATCTAGGTTTTTTTCATGAAATGGCGTCTGCTTGTATGAAGGTATGTCGGGTATTGTCTGTATGCAGTTTCATTTCTTTAGCCTGTCCTTTGGATAAACTAGTGAAATCAATGTTTAAAGTGGGTAGTCTGCGGGATTACTTCACCTGTTACGTTGAGAGGCTGAATAAGCACGTTCATTGAGTTAGAAATTGGTTGTCGGTATATCGACTTACATTCCTATGAGTACTTTGTGGTTAGGTTATTTAGCACCTGTTTGGATTCTTTCAAGTTATCACTCGATACAACGAAATTATTAGCGTATACCGAGTCAGCTATCCACCTGTGGGTACAAAACAGATCATCACTTAATTTCATCACTTCTCGGGATCTTGACAAGGTTGTCCTTTTCTGCCGTTCATCCTCAACTTTGTTATTTAACATTTCGGTTGAAACTTCTCCCCCTATCTTTGGAACCCTGGGGATCGATTTGCTCTTAGAGCGTTCCCTCACTGACATTGAAGGATCGTCCTCAGAGATGCTATGTTGAACACGAATAGTTTTGTTGCATGGCTTGACTTGCACTCCACACTTCGAAGTGCAAAGTGTTACTAGAGGGGTTGGTAAAATCTAACCTAAACCTCATGCTTTCAGACCAGCCAATCAACGTGGCAGGTAAGCCTGATCAGTTGTGTAGATTCCGGTTGTGCGGCTGAAGAAGAAACCAATTCTCGAATTGCGATGACCTGGTCAGCCTTCCACACCGACGTGATACCAGTTTATCTGTCAAAGGCACTGCGACAGTGTGACTCTTAGTGATTTGTAGGTCAGAAATGTCGCTCCTGTACTCACAAGATGTATGAAGACTCGGTAACCGGTCTAACAGGGATGTTAAATTGGCAATGCTCAGTTTAGGAAGGAAGAACTCTTCGTCGATGGACAAGCTATCCACGCCTTATAGATTGTGCTTGTCATGACGTGAACTTTTAGTGTCAGAGAACCGTCTGCCTCGCGGACCTCTTGTAGCCCATCCCTATGCTGATTATATAAGAAGCGACTGAGAGGCTGTCAGTCTGCAGCCTGGCAATGGTATGTGAAGTCGCCAACCAGCAAATTCACTCGGGTTGACAACTCCCGCCTCAAAGTTATCGCCTTCAGATTGGAGCTGCCCAGTTTTGCTCCTTATCAGACAACCGGAGGGGTTCAAACTCAACCAAATAATTGTACCATTGTCCCCAGCGCTTGGTTGTACCTCCCGTGCTTTCCCACGCTCTGGTGACCGAAACCAGCATCTGTAACCAAGATTTCTCTTGTACATAGTTTGTGGTTGACAAACTACCACCTTAAACTCTGTCCGTGCTGATGAAGTCTTTCATCGAAGGTCATTTGCTTCTGCTAACCCGCCCGATCTATCTCATCATCACTAGTCAGATATTCCCATCATCCTTAACCAGTGTTTCAGGGACAGTGGTATTACAAGTGTCGGAGATTTGCGCAAGTTACTCTGGCTTTCCCGGTTTAGTAGACGAATCGGTATCTACGCACCAACTTTGGTTTTGTTCCTATCCATTATTTTATGAAGTGTGGGGTACATAGTCAATCATGCTGTATGGTTGGTTGGACCATTTACAGTATACATGCTCGATTGCATGTTGTATTTCGGATTAGTGGACAGAGCAAAACTAATTTCGAAAACGTCTGAGGATATATTAGTGATAGCTTGTTCCTGACGACTTTTTAACTGGAAACGCAAATTGTTTCGACGGGAAACTATCACTTTGGCGATATTGTCAGGCTGGAGTAGTGCCATGATGCCATAGCCCACACTGTTCGACATTTCCTCGGGTTTTGAAAATTCCGGGGAGACTAAAGGGAGTCAGGTAGACAGGTAGTCCTCATGTTACAAGAAGTCGTATGACAAAATGGCCCGGAGTTTGTCTTGCCGTCCTATACGCCAGCAGTCACCACCAGTGGTGCCGCCTTCCCCCTTCGGTGGAAGTAATAAAAGAGGTTGGCGGTACGCATTTGGATCACCCAGCGGGTTGACCATGACCGCTTTCGGCTTATCTAATACGGTTGGGATACGAGTTTTACCGATACTGTTCCAATTGGGTCAGTCGTGCGTAGCAGCATCAAAGATCGCATACTTGTACCTTACCCACTGTGCTATCGGGTTAGGTTGGCCAACCAACTGGAGCAAACGTTTGGGTCACTAATTCTAGGTAGGGTCTCAGATGGCCATAAAACATGCTACCTTACAGGTCAAACTTCTGAATCAGAGGTAAGTGTTGGAGCTTTCAAGATAGCATGTGAATCGTCCCGATTCCCTTTCAAGTCAGTCGATCACATCGAGATATCTCGAGAAGGCTCCATTTGTTCTTGAATCCCAGAAGCATAATCTGCCCCTACGGCTTTTTGTTCACGGTTTTTTTCTATGCTTTTGTTCTCTGTGGACTCTGTGAACCGGATGCGGTTGTTCTATCTGAAGTGTTGGACTGGGTCCGAAATATGGATCATCATCTTATGTACAAATTGCACTTAGACTTGGCCCTTTGGACTCATGGCTTCTTGCAGCAAGTGAGATTTTGATTTGGTAGAGGTTAGATCAGTGCTGAACACGTCATGTTGTCGATGATGATGATGAACGGTTAGGCACTCCGTCAGGACTGCCGTGCCACCCGAATGAAGCACGATGGGCGAGGTACTGCCAGGTCGTCCAATCCTAGACGGGAGCACTCGAGGCTGGGTTCGAACACGGTCGGTAAATTCGTGCCTTGACCTCCAATTATGTTAGTTGTGGAGCTTCAGTTCAAAGCCAGCCTTCCAGGGTGACCGGTGCTTCGGTGTTTTACGAGTCCACGTAAGCATTACCTCTTAGCTTGATTTCACAGTTTTCTCGGCAATCTGGCATAAAAATCTTAGAACGTCGCCTGAGAAATCATCACTCCACTTCAAATATGGCTCTTGGGCGTTCGTCGTAACTTCGACACCTTTGTAGTCACTAACATTTCCCGGTTACCGGCTTAGTTGAATGAGTTCGGAGATGAGGTGTATGGTTGGTTGCTACCCGATATCAGTGACGTTCATTCATGCAGCTTCTGCTGAGGTTGTTCAATCACTTTGGAGGTTTACACATCTCATGCTTGTGGTGAATTAAACCTTGTTTCTCTCATTTTTCTTGTCACCACAGAGCTCTAATGGTCATGGTTGAATAACCGTTAGGCACTCGTGTTCTTACATTTATGTTTCTGTCACTGATTGGTGGTGGTGGCTTCCCCTTACTCACTTCCAGGAACACGAAAAACAGGAGATAACAAAACGAAGTTCAAAGGAAAAGTTGAAATTCCGAACCTCAGTGAAGAATACTCCGTTGAGGAACTTGATGTTTCCGTGACGTGCACTTCTTCAAGTGGCGACGGCGACGCTATTCGTAATTTCATGCAAACTGTTGGTGCGAAAGCGATCAAGGAAAAGCTTGGGCAGTACCTAAAATTACTTCATGAAGGTTCCCACAATTCATTTTTTTGGTTTTTACTTTTCTTAGAGTACTCTCGAGACCTCATCCTTCCAACGAAAGGCCAAAATACGACAAACCAGATACCTAAGGAGTCTTCAAAAGCCCTTCCAAACGACGTCAGGAAAAAAGACACCGACCACAGCAAACAACCAAAAGATCTTAGTATCAGAGAAATTCACCTGAACGATGAGTTCTTCTGTACACCAGACGACCTGTACAAAGTTTTAACGACGAAGGAGGTACGTCAAAAGTGGCTCCAGTAGTCCATCTGAATGAGTGCTTGTGTGTGATGACGGCACACTAATGCGCAGGCCTTCTTTAGTCTAACAGATCAACTTCTGAGTACAACTGGAACCCCCTTTTTCATTGTGGACTCTCGGACCGTGTCTGTCAAGTCTGTGCACGTCATTCAACATTACGTAGAGTTGCACTGTTCTCCATTGCCAATGTGATCTTGGGCTCCACAACTGAGTTCATGTTACTCGTATTACTTTATTCTTGCAGCTGTGTCTGAGCAGGAATAGGAGAACTGATTGAAGGCAATATATAGGAGTTTTAGGCTTTTACTCTTGGAACCATTTAGAGATTGGTCAGCATCTCCAGGTCAATTTCTCAATGAGTGTCGCCTAGTTGGTTTGTCCTCACTTGACGGAACAGGGATACTTCGTCTTGTGAAAACCACCCTCGGACAGTTAAGACACGACATCGCAGGGAAGTCCGAAAACAGCTATCGGGTAACTCACTATTACTGCTACTTCCTTCTGAGAGCGAACACTGATGACCAACCCTATCCAATCACGTTGTCATTGGTATTCGTGCATAGTAGCCACTGTCCTCACTGCCTAGCCAACCCATATCACTCTAGCTCAACAGTTTTTGTTGGAAGTTGCTTCGCCAACACGGTAAACTTACCTGTTTTTTCAACCTTTCTCCTCAAATATGTCATGCATTTTCAGTCTTAAAGCAAGGACGGTATTATTTTTCTTGGCATTGCATGAGGAATTTCAGTATACAGATGATTCTAAAACCCAAGGAGGCTTAAGAATTTTTATGAAATGTTCGGTTAGTTGTCTTTTTGAATTTCCGTTCTTACACCGCTCTCCAGTAATGACCATGGCGAATTCGTCAGGTGGTTAATACGTTTTTGGGCCTGTTGGATTTCCTCATGTTAGCTACACTGCAGCTTTTTGAAGCGCCCTGTAATGGCTGTGGAAGTACGGAAACTAGCAGGACATTGTGCAAATCGTCAACGTTGGAAGTTAGAAACGAAAGCTAAACTTGATTAATGTCAATCATTTTGTATGTTTTGCATGTTGTATCCCAGGACTTGAAAGCAACCAAAATTAGGCAGAGTGCATTTTAAATGGTATAAAATAGCTGAGCTTCAAGCAAGATATGCATTTTAGTGGTCAAATGATCGAAATGAGGTTCAGTCGTGGGCGAAAATGCACATTGTTGTGCGGAAACCCTGCTTAGTGCGGCACACTGGGCATTTCACGTATTCTCTCGTTCGCTGTCGAATAGAAGGACACGTGATTTGAGGTCTGAAGCTAAGCTAAAAATTTGGAAGAAGTGGATCCAATCTGTGACTGATATATTGACGACTGTACGTCACAAAAAAGCTCTTTGGTGACACCTCAAAAAAGAATATTTCGTGACGCTTCCTGTCTTTTTTTACAACCCACAGCATCTCATTTAATAAACTTTCATCAAAACAACAGTGTTAGTGGAGCGATTTTGGTGGTGTAGGTTTTTACTGCTCGAATCTAACATACTGGCAATATTTTCCAGTAAGCTTGGAGTAATACTCAAGATGGCATTATTCCTTACCACCTTGGCTCCATTTAGCTTGTTTTGTGGTGGAATGGGTCGGGTTGCACTCATTGAGACCAATCCGGGATATAACAATGATTGTCAATGTGTGTTTGGACACAATTCGTATGATTCAGTCAAATGCGCTACGTTAGTCTGTGACCTATGGCTCCGCGGACCGTACCTTTTACTGAAGAACCAAGTTTTCGGGTTCCAATGAGGCAGGATGGAGTGGTTAGAACATTTCAGATGGAGATGTGCCAGCGATTGTCAGACACAGACCTTAGTGTAAACGAATTCATGGAATGACGATGTATCGAAGACTCACTTTTCCAAAGGATGTTTTATGCTCAGGATGGCTCAGTGGTTTAGGTGCGAACTTACTGCTCGAAAAGTTCGTGGTTCGAACCTTACCTCTGCTGCTTTTGTCTTGTGGAACCTGGTAGTATCTCAACCCTTGGATGGCTTGCCAGCACCGAAAAGGGGTTGCAGGTGGATGATTTGTTTTTAAGGTGTCGGAGGGATGTTGTTAGCTCATGCTTAACCAGTATGCACTCTTGCTTATGGAAATCCTTTAAAAGACGGTTGATTTGATATTAGAAGTTCCGTGAAGAAGACGCGTCTGTCAGAAATGACTTTATATTGGAATGATGAGCATATACTCTTGCTCAGTCTATTAACCTGAAAGTGTTTTCTTGGATCAAACAACTTTGACGTTTGTTTTTCTGTCAGAAAGTTACTTTTTCAATTTTATGGATTAAAAGTCGAGACACGTTTCAATGTAATGCGCGATAAACCTTAGCGGAAAACTACCACCAATTGTCCTTGAGGAAAATGCTAATCAGTATCGTTTGCAGGGAGTACTGCTTAAAAAAAAATGCTGATACTACATTCATTTCTCGCGCGATGTTGCTAAGTTCCCATGTATCCACACTGATAGACAAGTAAGTTTTTGTCTCCTTGTGTGATTTCGGACCTGTTTTGTACAGAAAATCCGGTGAAGAACTGCACGACTTAAAACAGAGCTTTGGTGTTCCTGAACGGTTTTTTAGGAGTATAAAGCATAGATTGACCGTGCATGAATGCTTTAGTGTTAGTGCGCATAGAGTGTTATGTTTCGTTTAAATGCGGGTTGAAACGAATGCCTTTATTGTATACAGGAATATGTAGCGGTTCTTCACGCTACATATGCTTACCATCGCTGTGTATAGTTGTATTGGCTATCACACCTTTCGGAATTTCCTGTCAAGAAGATGTCTGCTGGAAAACATGCCTACTTACTTAATGCCTTGAGTCCTGTGTACGTTCTTCTATTTCCCCTAATGTCTTAGCGCTAGTGACTCTTACGACTGTTTCCTCTTGTGCTATTGTTTCTTCGTTTGTCAGACCCTATACAAATCAGCCGAATGATTTGGTTGCTATGGCATCAACTGTTTACACGTGCAGTTTCAAATTAAACCAAATCAGCCCTAGGTGGACGCACTGGTTTGTTTTCCTTGTAATTATCAGGAGGTGTCGGTACTAACCTAACACTTTCGTTGACGTTGACTGCGTTATGACTCTCAGAAACTTGTTCCTTTCATTGCCCGAAGCGTTCGATAGCTAAATAAATATCAGAATAAGTAGTTCCACTGAAGTCGATGGGCAGGCCAGCGAAACAGGCTCATAAGCCGCCGCACAAAATATGTGCAAGTCTGGACCTTGGAGAGATTTCTCAAAGGCATACAAGAGCCTATCCGTCGAGGTCATGTCTCAAGAAAACAGCAAAACATGGACGTCTATCTGTCTGCCTACACCTTGGTTTCCAATACCTTCGAAATCACAATGCCCTTTGCTGCTAATATTTACGGAATTTTTTTTCGTCCAAACGTGTGTTCTCGCTTTAGCCGTTTTAGCAATTAGGTCGTCAAGCTTTTTTGAGGGCTTACTTTCATTTTTTGCTTTGCTTTTCATAGTTAGTGCAAGCCTTTACCCGGGGTGAAGCAACAGTGAATGCGGTCCAGGGTGGAGAGTACTGTATTTTCGGTGGCAACATTTCGGGCACGTTTACCTCTCTGGTACGTCAGCACTTCGAGTTTACCCGACTATATTCGCATCTTGATGCCTGTTAGTTCAGTTTACTTCGCAGCCCAGGCTGCACTATCTCAGTGTTTCGTCTGACTTGATGTGACCACTCATCCCATTCTGTACTTGTTCTCAAACCTCTACTTATTCGTTTACCACTGGATTTCTGTTTAGAGGTAGCCTAGACATTGTAGTAACGGTATTTTCCTCAGCTTAGTTCTCGGTCTGAGCCTCCCAAGCTAGCGTTCACGTCAAAAACAACCACCAAAGGTGCACAAGGTCTATTAACGCCCAAAACGAAATCAGGAACAGTTGTACAGCGCTTCGTATATATAGCGTAAGCGGTTATAACTTTCTGGAATTTCTGACGCGTTCTGGAGCGCCATTGGCAACTGGCATTTGGCCAATACTGGGTCATGATTGGCTGTTGGGTCCAGATTGTTGACCAATCACATCTCGTCTTGATGCCGGACCGGCAAGCGTCCCGAATTTTGGGCCAACCTCGAGCGGGCCAGGCTTCTCGGCCGTAGCAGCGCCTAAAGACGTGCGGTATAGTGGGATCCGCGTGGATTCCTGCCTAACAGACATAACAGTTAGAATTACCACTTAAGCCACTGAACAATATTGTACGTGTAAATGTTCAGAAGCCCCTCTGGTTTGATAGCAGTCATACCATCTGTAGGCCATAGTATTTTAATTTTTGGAATCCTAGGGTGTTGTTGACAAGGCGACTTCTTTGCTGTGCAACCGCGCACTTATTTTACGATGGATGGATCGCTGTTTCCAAAATTTTATCGGAATCCAACAAAGAAACATCGGTCGTTAAAAGCCCGCTATTGACCTGTTATCGTCTTCCCAGAAAATCGGTGTATCCTAACCGTACAGCAGCGCGGGCCACATCGTGCCTCGGACTTGTTTCCTCTATTGTCAGGTAGCATGCCACTCTTTTTATCAGCAGACAGTTCTGTGTGTCGCTGTACGCGCACTAACGTCAGCAGAATTTCTCGGTGCGCAAAACGCTTCACAGTCTCAGAGGCCTCTGTCAATGGGTGTTATTGACAACCATGGTGTATCTCTTGCCTCGTCCATCTAGTTTGCACACAAAGGAGTCGACCATTCTGCTATCTTTTAATAAGCCGTATTAGTTTTGTTCAGAAAGCCGAGATTTGCAAGCGCGTGTCTTTCACGAGTCCATCTGCAAACATTTGCAGTTCCCGACGAAACACTTTATTTATAGGGATAACTTAAAGCGAAGCCCTTCAGCTGGAATTCAGTTACATTCCTCGTGAACCCCAACTTACTTTGCCAGTGAGTGCATTTCACCACTTGTGGTATCAAAAAGCATATCACTGAATCTCAAAGGACGCTTGCATTCGGGCTCTGCTGCTGTACAGCCTCGATGCTTAGCCACTGATGGTGGAAAACTGGGGGCCACTGATGTCTCAGAAATGTAGCTGGACTAGGCTGCAATCAGCGAATTCTGGATAAGGTTATCAGGAAGCGGGTCTTTGGCGGAGTTGTTGGTATTTCGCTGAAGACTGCATTCAACACTACAGGTAGGTTGGATAGTATATCTATTACGCATACCAAGTTACTGTCTGTCGAGAAGAGTTGCTCTCCTTGCCTAGTTTTGAATCGCGGAAACATAAAGGTGGGCAGAGTACGACATGATAGAATGGAGTGAGTGATGCTCCGAAAAGTCTGAGTGTTGTTGGTGCCGTCCGCCCTCCTGGATGGTGCCCACCTGACACTCCCTATTTTTAGCTGGAGACGGTACAAAATGTGGTGGCCAACTGATGTCGATGCTGTTAAATCTGTCAGTTTTCATCCAGATTGTCCTAGTTTTGGTGAAAAGACTATTTCTTGGGAACTCATGATTTAGGAAGCTATAATTATACAGATAGAGTCACGTTCTCTCTGAGAGGATGTTAGGTGGACACGAGGAGCGATCAAAACTGTCCCTAGTCTAGTAGTGTCCTCACCCCACAATTGTTCCTATCACAACCAAATCAGCCATTGGCTGGTCGGCTGTTGTTCCGGAGTCGTTAGAAGGTGCGTCGTGGTCCATCATCCAGTACACCTCAAATAGTTTAGCAATAAGGGCAGTGATGTAATTATCCCCTAGAAACATGGCGCTGTAGAGCACACGCGTAATTTGGGTTCTGTGCAAATGGTCAGCCTATATCGGATTGCTGCCAGTTGCACAATGTTCTCTTACGTGGCTTTTGTCCGCTGGTGGTTTCCTATTTATTTCAGTGGTGAAAGTTCTGAATAACCTTCCGATTACTGATTGCTAATAGCAAATGCCTAACGTCATCCTATCTCTTTTCTTACCACAGACTCCTGGAAAATTGATCGAAATGCAATGGCGAAAACGGGAATGGCCAGAAAGTCACCACAGTATCTTGTGCATAGAGCTCAATTCTTTCGAAGGCGGCACGCAGCTAAATCTCTCGCAAAAGGGAATTCCTGCCTACGATGTAGAGAACACTAAGAACGGATGGCAGTCCAATTTCTTCGCCTCTGTAAAACAGACTTACGGGTACGGAGGTCGCATGTTTTAAGCCCGTCTTCGAACCGGTGCTGTTCATCCATTACACACATTCAAACAAGAGAACGCTTGTTTGTCCAACGACGGAGTGCTTGTGCTGGAGGACTTCAACAGAATATATTATACAGCGATTTAAACAGTGTGTCAAGTAGTTTTCCTCTAACCATATTGGATGGCCCCTAGATACATACTTCCAGCATTTGACGGCAACCGCTAATAGGGTAGGGTTCCGTTTGAAATCCAGCGGTTTATCTATCTATCTATCTATACTTCATCTTCGAGACTAGAATGCTGGGTTGATCAGCGTGTCAACTGTCGTTCCTGTGGGACTTCATAAATAGAATAAGTGCTCTTTTCCACCTAATGACTAGCGATAAACTTTTGGTGGATGGAGAGCGATAGCGGAAACCGTTAGCTTAGAAAAAGATGCATAAGGAGACTATTGAAAGTTATTCTTAAGAACCTCAGGTCTATTTAATTACACTTTTTGCTAGAACTGGAAGTGGGCTAGTAAACCACTGGAAGGCGCAACGTTTATAAAGGGTTTAAAACGATGTCTGGCCTTTGGATCAGTTGGATCGCTTCGCTGGAGATCTTTTGTTAATTTGTCAAGCCAGGCATTTACTTTTGAATGAGGACTACCAAAGCACATGTCGTGCGAGGCGCTGGTAAATTCGCCTGTTTTTTTGTTTCCTCCACCTCCGCTTAACTTACAACGTTGAGATTTTTTTGACATACATCACTCAAGGCTCGGTGCCCACAGGACCTAAAAAGGGTCATGATGCATGCTAAAAGGGTGCGTTACCGTTGTTAAGGTCTGTCCAAACCAAGTAAGAATGCGACGTGTGATTTATCACTGCAATGTAGTGTTGGCGCATACTTCTCATTAAATTAAGAACGAAGTTTACTCTCGAATCCCACCCCGTGCTCGCGATTCTTTCCGGTCCGTCAGAGGTATAGGAAAGCCTGTTTTTAGCTGTATGCAGTTCTTGAAGAGCGACACTTCTAATGGCAGATCAATCCTCTGTGAATTTCACAATGCCATTCCGTGTAAACCACGATTTAGTTACAATCCCCCCCCCCGAAGAGAGGCGAAGACGTTTAACCCCCTGGTGTTTTCCTTCTAGGATCCTGTAACTCTGCGTTAGATATTCCGTTTCATGGGTTTATATCTGTATCTTGCGCAGGACAGTCTGACTGTCAGAGGTCTGAAATAAGTCAACCGTAATCTATTAGTGCACAAGTTATGTTAGTCATAATATAACCCACAAGGTATATGCACTAATAACAGTTTTTACTATGTTGGATATTAGTTTACAGTTACTAGGTGCACCATGATAAAATAAATACAGTGCGAACAATAGAATAAGTCAAAAGGTAGCTTAACTTTTTTTGGGTAACTCGTGAGAGTTCCTGGGTGAAAGTTCGGATGGTGGGAACGTGCTTTCTCCGTGCTCCGTAATTGCGGTTGACTCCCTGCGTGCACACAACTGTGTGGTGACCGCGTTGTGTCTCCTTGTATATGGAAAAGTTTGTAATACATCGAAACGTTCCGACGCGTACAAGACGGGAACTGACTTGTCGGTCTAGGTTGCTAGCGGAACAGGGTTTTTCTCATGTGATTTGAGTGTCTGTGGGACAAAGGAATCGCGTGATCTGCGACGCGTACAAGCACTAGACAAATTAAGCTAGACAAATTAAGTTAGTTGCAGGAACACGGAAGTGACCGCTACAAACTCAGCCAATAGAGATCGAAGTAATGCTGCCTGGCAATATTGTCCTTACTTGCTCACCACTAAAAACGGTAATAGCTGTACTGATATGGTATCCGACCCTGATTTCTAATGCTGGTCAACCTCTTTATGGTTGTCCACCACAGAACTATAATCATGGATCGCAGAAGACCCTATATCGTGATGTCGGGCACTGTTAGTCCTTTCTCTCAGGATAACTTTAGCAAACAAATCCATTTAGGTCCATTTCAGGTCTCACTTCCTCACCGCTGAATCTCACTTAATTCCGTTCTATAAGTTGACTTTTTGATTGCTTGTCTCAGCTTTATGTGGATTCTGGTGAGCCAGGGGTCTTTTCCATGTTCATGTCTGTCACACACGAACTTTGGAAACTTGTTTGACGCGTTTGAAGCTCAACTGTGTCTGTTTTATGTACACGGCACTTGTGCCACGTTGCATTCGCAGTAAAACCTGGTTTTCTCGGTGTCCTACCTTGATGTATCGGCCGGGAAATTGCTCGCTAAAATTTTTCACCAACCAGATAACATTGGAATGCGTCCGTTACCCTTTCCAACATTTCTATAGGCATATAATTTCTCTTTCCGTAAACGATAGTGAAGATCACGTACTTTCTATAAATGGTAGTCAGTCATCTGTCATGTTGGATGGATTCATCAGCCAGCACCGTTTTGATTTTATAGCATAACTAGCTAAATCCGAGAGCGTCGCCCGTCACTCGCCGCTCAGGGACACATAGAGCCGGCCTCAATGGAGCTTCGCAGTGAGCGCGCAATGTAACCCATCAGGAGATGTATCTATATCAATCATAAATTCAACGAACAACAGTAACGAGTGATCTGCGTTGGAAATTTTAAGGATGGTAACGAAAAGAATGGGGGAAAGTGCGTCGTTATAATGGCGTATTGTGCACTGTTTTCCTACCATTCGTCATAAATCAGTTTACTGTATGTTTTCGTCTTGCCAACTGACTTCATCGTTTCGCTTAAAGTCATATAGAAGCATGACAATGGTGTTATAATGTGTGGTTAGGCCAGCTGAGCCGTCAAGCATTAACTTTGTATTAATTGTACGTTGTGCCACCGTGCGAATCAAGCTCGGATGTCTGGGATCTTCGGATGGTTTCGCTGCCTAACTGAGTTCACAGGGTTTGATTAGGGTGCTCTAGCGATCAGGACAACTTCCACCTTCTCTATATCCTCAGCTCCTACTATTTATTCCTAGACGCTCAAAACATTAACTTAACAAGTGTTATGGATCGCCTGTTCGGTCGCGTTTGGATGATCAGCTGCCTTTGCGGTTGACCCCTTCTGGAGAATAAAGTCCTTAAAAGAGACTGGTCTGGACTCTCTTCTGTAGAAACTAATACTCAGCTCATTCGGCCAAAAACCACCAACCAGGTTCGCTCATCTGACAATAGGTTATTTTCGTGTTCCTAAAGGTCGCCCGTCTAACATCCCATGAATTAATGGCAAGCAAGAACCACACCATTTTTGCGTATTTTGGCCCGTACACAGTCGTGTCCGTATGTCGATGAATTACAATACTTGTCCCGCGAGAAAACACCTTCGAATGCAAAATACGTCCTTGAAAGGATGCCTCCTTGTGGAAGGACTAACTGTTAGGAGTCTTATCGCAGACTGTCGGTACCAACGGAATGCAAGCGTGGGCGTACATGGTTATCTTAGTTTTTATTAGTAAGCCATGCAGCATCCACATGGAATTATTGCTGTACCTTGTGTCAATAATCGCCTGTACCATTGACTAAGACATACGAATGTAACTAGATGGATTCCGTTTAATGCTCAACAGCCCCTGTAGTTGCGTAATTACGAAACATTAGTTTTAGTGCCACAGACAAACTTGAACATGAGGCCATAAAGAAACAACTTTTCAGGAAAATGTATCCTGGTGATGAAAGATACCCTAATTATTGAGATTCCGGTGTCATAGTGTATTGTTTTGTCCTCCGTTCTAACCATTTTCCTTGATCTACGTTGCAGCCGTGTGCGTTTCAGCCGAACAGTGATGTCCCCGTTTCCTCATTCAGTTAATGTCCTGCATGGGTTTTTCGCAGTTTTTGCGCTGCTGATGTGCAGCGCATCAGCATAGCTTGCGACACCAACCGCTAAGCGTAACAGTCAATATGATATTTCCATTGTAATTTTTGGAGAAAGGGTCGGTCGTTTTTAGAACCATACGACATCTTTTCGGATGTGACAGGCATGTGTATTCTAGTGGTGAAAGCACCACGCCATCCCATTCGTATCCCGGCCGGCAGCATTGCCTAGACCGAACTAGTTGCTTGCTGCAGTGAAAATGTGATTCCTCTCACCTTCATCTGCACTTGACGTCGTTCAGTTATTACACGACTTGTATGGTTAGTTAAACAATCAGACCTATTTCACGACCGACTGCAAGTCGTCGAATGCAAATTCGTTGCGTTCGCTAAAAGCAGAACAGTCGCACTTCTGTGACCGCCGCACATAGCTTCTGCAGTAGCTCTGCTTGATGGCGGAATAATACGCAAACAAACTATCCCACCACCAGCATCTCTTTAAGAAAATCTCAAGTCTTCGTTTCAGAAGGGTTTGGTAAACAATCGGTGGATTTATTGCTGGGCAACGTTTCGCTTTTGACACAAAGCTTCGTCAGGCCAAGTGAGTAAGTAAGTAGGTTGATTGGGTTTTAAGGCAGTCAGGGAACCAATCCGTGAGATTCCTTATGACTAGTGACGTGATCAGTGCTGGGTGTTCAGTCTGATGTCCCTGTTTGTTGATTAGTGGGATAGCTAAGCTTTACGATAGATCGGTTAGGTGGGGAGGTTTCGTCTTTATGATTAACCAGGATTTTTTCGTCCCTGCTTCTTCAGTCTAGGACAACTTAATGGAAAATTCCTCTTGGGGTCGTTCAC